ATGAAATGACAAAATGCAAATTCATAGCGGCTGCATAAACGCTTATTGACAACTTCTTTCTTTTTTTCTTTTTATTGTATTTTCACAAATAATATAGCAAATTAAGATTATTTTTAATTTTTACTTAAGAAAACTATTTTCTTTACTAACAATCTTCTTCTTAGAGAATATTGTTAAGGTTGCGAATGAAGACCTGAAAAACAGTATGTTTCTCAAGGGCGCACCCTTAGTTTATTCTTAACGGCGGTGTTGATTGAAGTCTGCAATGCAAGCGGTCAGAGCTCATGTCAGGTGGCGATTCAATGCTGCCTGCATTTTTTTTTTAATTTTAAAATTCTTTTATTATTATCTTATGTGCTGTTACTGTACTTTAGCAACTTTTATCAGAGTGTGGATCGAGAGGCTGATAATTTAACAATAGTTTTGGTTTAAGGTAGCTTAGTTTGAATATTTACAGTTAGTAGGTGGCTTATACATATATTTATTTTGTTTAGACTAGATTCGGTTCTATTGTGTTTGGGTGAGGGTCTGCATGTTACACTAAAGGCATCGATCGACTAGGTCGGTTGGGTAGGTCCTTTTAAGACTCCTTCTTCGGAGGACCTTGTTTCGGAGCGAGAGTTTCTTGTTGGGGCTTAGCAGCCAGCTTAAACGCCTGATTTTAATTTGAGCGTTGTTGATTACCTCGGTGACATGTTTCTTAAACATAAGTCGTCTGGCAAGAATGGCTTCTAAGTATTAATGGCTTGGCGTGCTCTAAGAGCTCACCAAGGGAAAAAGTCCGGCCAGTAGTCTTTGCGGGTGTGAGTAACCGTAGCACTTTTTTCAGTTCTCGAAGGGCTTGAGGTACTCCTGCAGGATGTCCGTTGCTTCATACACGTTTTTGGCAAAGATTGTCGTATAATCAGCAAACGTGGCCACCAGAAGGTCCTGCCAACTGATTAGAGTGATTTCGTTTGCCGTGGACATGTCGTGCATAAAGAGGCTGTATAATGTAGGACCCAAATCGCTGCCTGTGGAACGCCATCCTGCACCACTTAAAATGTACTTTCAGTCAGAAACCTTGCAATGATGCTAAAGAGCTGCGGATTGTCCTTCTCTTGGAGCATGTTACACCCGATCGAAGGCTTGTTAGATGTCGAGCTATGCTGCCACCAAATACTCCTTTCTGGGGAAGCCGTCCAAGCTGAAGTTTGTGACTCGGTTAAACTGCTCCGGGGTATCGTGCTTGATTGGGAACCCAAACTGGAACATCGGGATTGAGAGTTTCATATCCGGGGTTTCCAGGAAGGCAGGCAGGAGGCTGATGGGGATAGGATTAATGTTTGTACCTTCTTCCAGTCCACTGTATGGCACTAGCTTGATTGTCTGGTTGTCCAAACGATCTTCCCCTCTTTATCCATTGCTTCACTCCTTTGGTGATTGGTGATAGAGGTAGGGACATTTGGAGAGGCACCTCGAGAACTCCTCGTCAACTCCTTCTCGACCCTGTTGGCGATAGATCCCGTCGATCCTATTCCTGGGTATGGACGTACTCCCTCCTCAGTCACTTTTTCAGGGAAAGAAGGCCTTCAACGATCTTCGGCTGTCATGATCTGAATGCTTAGATTTACCATGCCATTTAGCTTAGCCTCAAAAAGTTGTATTTACGCTTGGGGGGGACAAGCCTATGCTTTCTTGGGCTCCTTTAATATAAAGAAGTCTGTAAACAATAGGGGACTTTGCCCGTTGTACGGGAATTGGGTGGGTCTCCCGGTAGCCAGGACCTGGTGAATCCAGTTCAGCTCTGTGAAAGGTATGGTGTTAGATACGCTGCAGCTACAAGTTTTTCGGCCAAGAGGTGTTGTCACCATAATGGCACCCAACTGTGTGGCGCTGAAGGTCACTGGTCCTGTTTTACAGTTCTGTCCTGTTTGACAAGCACCGCAGCACCTCCTCTGGTACGACCTGCTAGGTGATCCGCGCAAACATGCCCCTCCACGGCCAAGTTCAGGCCTGCGTGTAAGTCGATTTCTGAGACAACCATGATGTCTATTCGTGCTTTCCCAGAAACAGTTTGAGCTAGTTGGCATTTTGAATAATGCTGCGAGCGTTCCACGATCCGAGGCGCATCTGGGCTGCCATTATTTGGGGAAAACGGAGACACCGAGCTGTGAAGGATCTTGCGCGTCCTTCAGCATACGACAGGTCTTGATGCGAATCGATGCGCCGTGCAGACTGCTGTTGGTTGTGACGTACCGGAGGTGCAACATTGATGGCCGGCTGTCTCGCATTTAAGCGTTGCTTATATGCTTTACATCCTTTATAGGAAGCAGCAGGGTTCCCCTGGCTGTTTGAGCATCGCAGATTTGCCACAGTTTTGGCCTGGCACTGCTGCGAGTTCGTCCAGTGGGGACTCGCATTTGGGCTTCCTGAGGCAATAGTTTTTTTCTGGTGCCTGATGCAGTTGTTTTTTCCTAGGAGCTTAACTTGGACCCGTTGACGACCAACCTTGCTAATGCGAAGCGCGTCCCTATTATGAGGAGCCGGTCTATATATAATACCAAAAGTTGCGACTTGGCGAGTCGTTCGTGAAACCTGTTGCCAGTTGTCGAGGAGACGCTGGGAGTAGTGGGTGTTGCTGGTTTTCGGATTTTTTTGTGGGTACTATCCTTTTTTTGATGGTTTTGGTTTTTCAATTGCATTGTCCCTCGCCGCCCTTGTTTTTTTTTGCCAACTGACCAGCAGCTCCTGAAAGGCTGGCGTATTAGCTTTGCTCCTTAGAGGGTGCAGAGCAGAGTTTTGCGTGCTATGAGCGCTGCAAGACGCAGCTACCGGGGAAGACCTCTCAGTGCCATATATAGCGACCGGGATGGGCTGGAAAGCCTGATTGGTGGTTTTGGGGCGTGTTCCAGTGCGGCACGGCTTGTACCAGTGGAGGCAGAAGTCCTGTCGCTACTGGAGGACACGGTGGTTGTAGTAGTTTTGGTTGTTGATGTACTTACAGAGCCATATTTTTGAAGTAGTAGTTGGTGCGCATGTCTTAACGGGGGTGTACAAGTGCACCTCGTCCATATCAAACGCCTCGAGGACTCGTCTACATTGCGATGGCGTTGTGCTAGCACTGGCAAGCTTCTTATTGGTAATTAATCTGCTTGTATTAGTGATTGGAGTAAAAGCTCGAAAGTTCATTAGTACACGGATAAAAGAGGCTTTGGAGCTTAGCTTGTGTAATTTTTCACTAGTTCAAGCAAGAACACCGGCACATGTTGTGCTAATTAGTTGATTATAACACTGCACTTGGGCTGCAAGCGGCAGCATTCCTAGTAATATTGTCATGAAAGCTTGCATTAGAATGATGCTGCCAGTAAAAATCGAAGCAAGAGGGTTTGGGGCCTGTGGAGGTCACCTTGTGGAGCTTGCGTTCCTGCTACCGCCCAATCAGCACTTTGAATCGAAAATACTGAATCGCTGACACAGCTCTTTTGGCAGTCCATCCGAGGCCAGATTGGTAATATATGGCCCCTAATTCGACGTTTCGACGATGTGGACAGTTGCAGATCGGTCTCGCATGTGGATCACAATTTATCACAAATATTATGCTGCCTCGCACTCGGCCTTCTACCAGTGGTCCCATTAACTGATTGCCCAAGACAGGTCGAAGCCAAAAGCAGATAATGAAATTTCATACCGTATTGCGAGCCAATTTTCTGCAATTGATGATCCAATTATTCTAACACAGGAAGGCGCATAACGAATGAGCCTTTGAATGAAGGGATTCAAGTATTGAATTTTTGTAGACTAAAAAGGTTTTCTATATTTTAATGTAATGAATTCCTCATGCCGTTTTAAATTTTGAAAATTGCTATTATTTAGCGAAGGCTTTAAATTGCAGCCATTTCGTCTGCAGTTAGGTCAGACTGATGAGGCCCTGTAATATTCCGCCTTCTAGCTCTACGCCCCTTTAACCGTAGATAAACATGCGCTGAAGTTTTAAATAGTCGTCTCAAGGCAACTGACTGCAAGTGAAAACGTATCCTTCCCCTGTTGAGGTATTGCTTTGTCGCTGCAGCGCCATTGCGCGATGGTCTGGTCATCTACTGGATGCCTCAAAAAATAAGGGCCGTCCCATTATAAAGTTGAATGGTTCAAGTCCGTTGGATACAATCCCCTGTGTACAATATCCAGGCCAAATTTTGAATCTTCTTCATACCAATGCTGTATATGGCCTAACTTTTTTATTTTTGCCGAACGGTTGGCTACGAAAGTCGACCATCGGCTTCCATGCGATGACAACCAGCTGAGCACAATTGTGGAGTTTGTAAAATAAATAGTGCCTGCGAAACCTTAAGATGAATACAAGTAAAAATCTTTTCCATAAGTCTCGTCGTTAAAAGTGCTCCGTGCAGCTCTAAGAGGGGCAAGGAAGCCACTCAATCTGGAGCGACCTTGGACCTTGGCAGCTACCAGGCGCACTGAAACCGGTCTGTCTATAATACGCACGCGAGCATAAATTGCGTCAGAGAACCCAAAAAGCTCTGAGTCCACCTCAAACGTTATAGGAAACACCGAACGAGGCAGCGAACATGAGCTTCAGTTCCTATTGGTATCTTTGCCATTGAACCGAGTAACTTGACGGCAGCTCTTCATCCCAGTTGTTCTTCAGCAACCCTAACTCTTGTACGAATATCTTGCCTAGAATCAGTATAGGACTCAAGAATCCAAAGAGATCAAACACTTGAGCTAATTCTGAAGCAGTGTTCGCTTCGTAATAGTTGTAGAGCATTTGACATTAAACAAGCACCTTTTCCAAGGGGTTTGGCTGCATCTTCAGGATTGGGCATTAAATTTTGTCTTTGTGTCTGTACGCGGCAGCTCGGCGCAAGGTTCAGAAAATCTCCCACTCGGGCACTCCCGAATATAGCTCTATTAAATGTTTTTACGGTTATTGCAATTTGTACTGATATATTAATACAATATATTACAATAGATATAATAAATATTATTATTTAACATTTCAGAATTTGGAGTTTTGACCGGATTGGAATGCTCAAAATTTCGCTTGGACCCGGAATCCTTTGCGGATGAAAGCCATGTAATTAGTTCAACCACAGGATCATTGCTGATAACCAGCACAAAAAAAATTTACTCAAACAGTCAATATTGCATAGAAAAAATAAAGAATTCATCATATGCTGATCGAAAGGTATATATTTAAAAACTTTTACTTTTTGTATTTATTTTATTTACAACTAATTTTTTTACAACCACTCAAGTTTGGTGGATTTCTATCATCTGTGAAATTGAAATGCATATAAGTTTATTTTCTATACCAATTCATCGTGGTTGGTTTTTTTTATCACAGCATGCAATATAAGTGAGCAATTAAACATTTTAACAAATTCAAAATTTAATAGATTTTAAAGTCTGAATAAATATGAAATATTAATATAAATGAATTGCATGCCTTTAAATGGTACCTAGGGAGTAAAGTATGTATGCAAACAAAAATAATTCAGATTTTGAAGATATTTTGAAATTATGTTAGAGGAAATCGTCAACTGGTACAAAAAGTAATGATTCACAAAAATGATGCACGGATTTCGTTAAGATCTCGTAAAAACAAGAACAGTTTTTCATAAAAAAGAAGGTGTTTTCTGTAGAATTTTCCAAGAATGTGCAAATAAAGGGAAGCCTAGCATAGCTATTAGAATAACGGAAGGTTCAGCATGCTTCTTTCAACTTCTTCTTTTTAACCAATATTTGATACCGCTCAGCGCCACTAGTGCTCTTCCGGAATCGAAATATAATATCACAAATATAATTATTGACTGCCGGGATTATTTTCAGGGACGGCAGGTACGCCTCATTCAAATATTATAAAATTTGCTTTACTACGGTTATGCTAGCAAGGTAAATAGAATAGTAAATCAGATGATTTTCGCGATATTTTATATTTTTAAGAAGACGAGAGTAAATGTTATATATTATAGCATTTATATAATAGAAGGTAAATTTTATATGTTCTAGTATTTATATAATAGTATTTAGTAAAAGTATATAACATTCAACTTCTTCTAATAGTTACACACATTATCGACTTGCTACATACAAGATTCGTCGTTCTGAATTGTAAAAGCCCTAGCGCTCCATTATCTCTTACTTACTTCTTTTTTTCCTATCTACAGACGTGTCAACCGTCTATTACTCGCGACTAAGCCACACGCTAGCACCGGCAGTCCAACTTCAAATCGCCTGTTAGGCTGCCGATCAACAGCACGCTTCTGTATGGCCTAAATTGAGAATTATATAATGCCTCTCAATTATTGACTTATTATTAATCATTTTTATAAAATCAGTATAAATCAGTTAAAATATCACGCTCCATAAGCGGTTTTAGAGAGTTTTTAACAGGCAGTCTGATCTCCCCTGGTGTTGCACAAGGTATTACCCTGCATTAAAATCAATCACGCGGGGTTATGATTTTTTAAATGGGGGAGCATTTATACCCCAAGTAACGTTTCTGCTCGACGGTACAAGAAAGAAAATCCTCCAATCATAGTTGGTGGTGTAGATCCTCCTGACTGCCATCACTGCCGGCTTAGAGCACTCCAGTGCTCCAATCAACTTTAGGTGGTACATGGGCTCCCCTAGGAACGATTCTAAAATCTAGTGCAACAGTCGGGCTGGAGCTACGGTATCTTTTAAGGGTTATGAAGGACCCTCCTAACGTAAGCGGAGTACAGTCGGCACCCGTAGCTGCAGTTCTAAGGATATCTCTCTGCCTGACTGAAACATTCTGGGTCTGGAAGCAGCGCTGCTTCGGCGTGGTGGCTTCTACTCTTGCCAGTGAAGGGTCTCTTGCCCGGTCTGATAATTGCAACCGGCGTAGACCTAAACGCATGGTACTCGGTACTCGTTGATGTCTGAGTTATGGCTCTGCCCCAAGTCAGTGCTGCAACGGAGTCTTCGCGGGACGATATTGGACTTTGATTTGCACTATCCTCGGGGTCCTTTGCCTGTTCTCCTTGGGAAGGCGACCTTCTCTAGGAACCCCCTTCGCAAACAAAAAGGAAACGTAGACTGCAAATTAAGATTATCATAAAATCTAGTTCAACAGTCGGGCTGGAGCTACGGTTTCTTTTAAGGGTTCGGAAGAACCCTCCTAAAGTAAACGGAGTGCACTCGGCGCCCGTAGCTGCAGTTCTAAGGATATCTCCCTGCCAGATTGAAAACTCTCTCAAACACAAAATAAAAGAAGATTCAGATTGGGATTATCTACTTACTAAAAAGTTAACAATTAAAGATTGCGAAGAAGAGAAGATTTCGAATATACATTTATAACGCTTATCGAAATCATTACAGGGTAACCGAAACGGCTTATATAAGTCAATGTAAAGAGAAGAACATTTAAAAGATAAAATTATAAATAAGGTTATTTTCCTATTCAACCAACTGGAGTCAACTTCGTCTGTAAATATATATGAATATTTTGCACCAAGCTTTATTTTGAGATAATTTAGATTCAATTGATAAATTTAATATTGTGGTGTGGATGATTTGATAAATATAACTCGTATATTAAGTCATAACATTCCGAATAATATTTAATATTTTATTTAAAAGTTTCACAACAGGAATGCCATCAATGTAAGCCATATCCTTATATGATTAACAAAACTTCAGATCATCGACATATATTTAGCGAAAGAAGCTACCGTGGAAGAGTCGGTAATGAAAATAGTAAAGAGTAACGGGCTGTGATGACAGGGGGAACCTTTGAGAGAAGAACTTTTTGGATTCTGTTCTTGAATATCCTAAAATACAACACGTTATAATTCAGTTTTATTGATCGAGTTTACCTAAATTGTAAGATTATTTGGCTGTAGATCAGAAAAGGTTCTTCGCTTCGCCTCGATCAACAACGAACAAGTGTGTAATAGATGAAGATACGCGTTTTTATAGCAGCTGTGACAAGTGCAAGAGAGGCTTGCCAACCTTGTTTACAACAAACAGCTGTTTCACTAAACTAAGATTACAACCTCTTCTAATGTTTACATGAATATTTGATTATTCTGATTTGATGCGGCTGCAGCAGAATCCAGCATACTCCCCCCGTTGGAAGCATGACTTTCAACAGAATCCTTAAGGACCAGCAGACACAGCTTCTTTACGGCTCTTCGGATCATTCCAGCCGTGGTCTTTAGATCAGCGATGGAGCTGGACTTTTTCACATTTCCATGAGTCATCCCACAAGTTCGCTCTCTGCACAACCCGAAGAAGAATCTGAGTGCCGTGATGAATGTCTGCAACAGTGAGTCCATGTTGCCTTATACGCATCATGAACTTGTACGCAAAGCCGAATGTGCGCTGCATGGTGCCAAATGAGTTTGTGTGATTGCATCCAAGAGTTAAATCCGCATGTGGAGACTTAAGGATCAGTACTCTTTTCCTCAATTCAATGGTTGGAGTTTCAGGCAGACAGGCCGCCGGCCAATTTAGGCGACCATCTTGTAGATACGATAAGCCATGAAACCAGATTTCCGATTGGGCTAGGACTTCGGGAACTGTGCCTCTAGAAAAAATGTCAGCTGGATTTCCGTCCGTCGGAACATATCGACACTCCATACTGTCGGTGAGTTCTTGTATGACTGCCACACGATTTGCCACGAAAACATTAAATTTGAAGGGCTCAGGATAGGACTACGGATAGTCCAGGATAGGACTACGGACAAATCACACCAGCAATAAAACTGGCTGACAAAATTGCCTGTGCGCTTGACAACATGCATCAGATTAGCCAACAGCTTCGCCCCACATAATTCCAGTTTTGGGACAGTCAATGTTTTTAAAGGCCCAACTCGAGACTTGGAGCAAAGGATGCGACTTGTGGCTAGAGAACTTCTAGCCATCTAACCATGTAGATGCAGGCTCCATAAGCCTCCACACTGGCATCGCAAAATCCATGTTTTTCAACATCAGTTCCTTGGAAGAGCACTACGCTAGGAAACAAAACATGCCGAACGTTGCGAAAACTGCTGCATAGCTCCCTCCAGGTCTTATCACGTGCAATCGGTAAGCTTTCATCCCAAGTTAATTTGTCCTTACAAAGCTGTTGAAGAAAGATCTTTGCTTTAGTTATGACTGGTCCCAAAAGTTCAAACAAATCATAAAACCGGGAACAATAGACAGAACCGAGCGCCTGCAGGGTTTAAGAGTAGAATCCAGAACAGAACATGAAAATAGCAACTGGTCGATCGCTGGATCCCATACAAGACCAAGGACCTTGGTGACATCGCTTCCATCATCGAACTTCAAGTACTGTTCCCTATCTTTATAAGCTATTCCATTGAGGACTTCTTGGTGACTGGAACACCACTTTCAAAGCTTAAAGTTTCCACGAGCCAATATCCCAGTCGTCTGACGAATTTTCTCGCTGGCTTCAGCAAACTGAGTTGGCTCCGCAAATGAAATCGTCAACGTAAAACTCCTGCTTGATGGCATCCGATCCAATTGGAAATGCATGACGCTCATCAATGGCCAATGCATTGCGCGCACGGACTGAAATGATGCTGATTTAGTCCCATACATCGCAATCAAGCACAATACGAAACTTGGTTGTGGTCTTCCTTCAAGACGCAATGATGTGGGAGGAAATATTTACAACAGCCACTCAACTCAGGACTAACTCGCGAAATGTAATTCAGATACAAATATTCTTTGATGAATGCCGAGTACTGCTCCTTCATATGCGCATGCCGACCCAATTTTCGCTCAAGACTTAGAAATCGACGATAAGCCTGGCCATAGGACTTTCCTAGCAGCTCTGCACTCTGCTTCAAAGGCAATCGCAATATTTGCCGGATGGTAAGCGAGATAAGTTTTTGGTAAAGTGCTGCTCACATTCCAACTCTTCCTTGCTGGCCTTTACCATAGGCTCATCCAAGCTCTTAACTCCCCAAGAACGGCGAACCAAATCATACAGACGAACGTCCAACTGACCGGCATCGCTATCAAAACCCCCGGTCACGACCCAGCCAAGGCGAGTCTTCTACAGAAGAGGTAATCTTGGCAAAAGCACAATTTGCCCAACAGACAAAAGTTCGTAGAAGAGGCTTGCTCCAATCAAAAGTTCGACGCGCTGTGGCTTGTTGAACAAAAGATCAGGGAATTTTCCAATCCGAAGTATCGATGTTGAAGCTAGGC